GTTTTCGGAGGCAGTGATCATAAGAATTAATTAGGCCCTAGTGAGAGTCCAACTCCTCAGTTTTGTCTTTCAGTTCTGCCTAGCTCTGCGTCCCAGACTGTGGGCAGATACCTGCTCTTTGATGAAGGGCGAAGTAATAGAAGCTCCTCTGCCCATTTGTTCTTCTAGGTGTGGAAGGATACCGATTTGGGGTGAGAGACTGTACGTATGTTGCATGGTGTTTTAACACAGGTCTTTTTTCATACTGTGTGGTTGACAGGCCTACTGTGTAAGAGAAAGCACGAGATAAGCAATTGGGGACAATGTCTGAGAACTGAACAGGAAGTCAATTACTAGTCATTTGCTAGTATAGACTGAGGCGTGACCAAAACCTTCCCATTTGGTAGTTCCCCTGTCCTTGGTCATGGTGATTAACTGCGGGCATCACAGGGCAGGTAGTCTTTAGAACTCCTTGTGGGTCTGCTCAGGTTTTGTGATTTTGATTCAGTGATTTGATTCCAACGTTTTTGATCAAGACCTGTAAAACTGGGTGTATCGCTGTTCAAAATCTTGTTTTCCTCCGTGCCGGGCTTACCTTACATCTCAGAAGCATGGTCTCTCTGAGGGTTGCTGAAACTGACAAGTTTTCTGGCTCTTTCTGGGTGACCTGTGATCTGGAGCCTGTGATGTCAAGTCAGGCTTCCTCCTGCAGTTTCTGCCTCCTGTTCCCATTGCCTGAGGTCTCCTTTCCAAGGTGGCTGCTTTAGAAGGTCAGCAGGCCTTGCATTCCACAACTCTCAGGCTGTGCTGGTATTTAATAGGGTTGGGGGAGAGGGCTGGGTGACTCGAAACCCTGGGGGAGTTCCATGTCCAGGACAGCCTGTTACCCTAAATGCAGGTGCTGCTGCTGTGAGCACTTCACACAGTGCTCTGATTCCTGCTTCTTGCCTGCCTAGGAATGGCAGAGCCCAGCAGCTCTCAGGGGTTAGTCGTGGCTGGCTACAGTACAGTGAGCACAGAAATTTCTGTGCGCGTAAACGAAGGGTTCCGAGGATAGTCAGAATCTCATGTGCAAACGGGCCGGGATCAGTCGCACCTGTTTTAGACTTGGAGGAGGTGAGTGCTGGCTGTGGGCTGTCATTGACAGTGGGTTCTCCCCGCCCCCATGCCCCCTCGATGTTTTCATCCACTCTTAGCAAACAGGTCTTAACAGGTAAGCAAGTCCCTGAGGGTCCGCAGCCTTGGCCTGCTTCCCTTAGAGGGCCCTGGCTTCCTCTTCCTATGGCCTCTCCGCTCTCCTTTGATGCTTTGAGTTTCTGCTTTGGGCTATGAACAGGGAGACAAGGCCTCAGTGTCTGCTGGGTCCGAGGCCAGTTGGGCAGGACGATACGGGAGTGGAGCCTGGACACGCCCTGGACCCATTCCTGTGGCTGTGAGCCTCACAATGTGTGCTGTGTCCTCCCTCAGCCCAAAGGGGTGGGCAGGGAGCCAGCACTGGCAGAGTCCAGCGTGTGCCTGGCCCTGTGATCCTACAAGGTTGGCATCTTCCCCCTGTTTTTAGATATGAGAAAACTGAGGCTGGATGAAGCTTCAGACTACCTGGAGCTGGGAGTCAGCCAAGAGCTCCTGAAGATGGGGCTTCCCTTTGGGTAGGGTGTTATTATAGAGATGAGTCCTGGCTTGTCACAGGCGCTGTGTCTCTGAGAAGGGACTTTCATATCCTGCTTCACCCTCAGGCCCTAAGAGGAAAAGTGGTCTGGAACTGGGAAGTTTTGAAAGCTGGGGAGGATGTCTGGAGTTCCCGTGGACTTGGAGGGGGTCTCGTGCTTTGTCAAGGTAGAGCAGGTGTTGCATCTCAGAGCGTTTCCCGACTGAGGGCCCTTGAGAGGGAGGGGCAGCTGGTGGAATCCTTGGGGACGTGGACACTGCCAGGCCTTCAGGCATGTTCAGTCTTCCCAGTTCAGGGACTTTCCCTAAAATGACCTTGAAAACGCAGAGGTGCCAGCTTACCTGTGTCTTGGCTAGGTTTCTTGTGCAACTTGGATTTGTTTTGCTTCCTGTGGCCCCTCTATTAAAATGAATCAGTGCCAGCCAAAGTGCGGCCTGGATCTGATGTTTGCAGCACCAAGACGCTCAGAGATGCATGGACTTCAGTCTGTGCACATTAGTACCTCTCCTTCCTGTCTGAGAGGGACCCACGACACTGGGGACTGTTTGCCTTAGGGCTCTAGATCCGGAGGGAACACCTACCCTCTGGCCAGGGCTCCGGGACTCCGAGGAGCGAGAATTTGCAGAAGGGAAGGCAGGTGCAGGTTGGAGTGACTTGGCTCTGTTTTTCTGACTTGGCTTATGCCACGTATCTATAAAGCTGAGGGTAGACCGTAGTGAAAGAAATCATTTCCATAACCAAAATAAAGCTACACAATCTGCTCTTTCATCTTCTGGTTTGAGATTGAGCATTATAACTTACTTTTTGGTAAAACCTGGGGTTTTCTTTCATGTTTGTTATTTATGTTAATACATTATTAACATGTTAAAATGTTACTTGGCATAGTCTATAAAGAAGACTGGCTGGGTGGGGAGTCTTGGCCAACCTGGGTTTATTCCTTGGAAATGTCTGACAGCAGAACTGTGGCTCTTGGGGTCAGCAGAACCAGAAGCGAGCAGGCAGGTTGGCTTGAGGAGGTGGGTGCCCTTCTCTGTCATAGACTGCCCTTACATAACCGAGACGGGCTTGAAAAAGCACCGGGACTGCTCACTCATCTGTGCTGCTGGGACATGCAGGGCTGGGCGCAGGCCTAACTGCCTGACCACTGAGGCTAGCCTCCTGGCAGCCACCTGGAGCCTCTCCTGGTCTCTCTTGCCCCTGTTCCATCTTCTCTACAGGTGGCTCCTGCTTGGTTGACTTCACCCAGAGCTCCATCTGGCCTTCCCTTTCTCCTTTTTCTGTCTTGCAGGTGTGCTGTCATCCCAGTGGTGGTCATCGGGATGGAGTGGGGTTAGGAGAAATGGCCATGGGTGGTCGGAGAGCTGGGTCTACACCCTGGCTCACCCACTGTCTTCCTCTCAGCACCGCAGTCCCTCCCTCACCCCTGGGAAACATCTCATGGTCCCCTGACTACTCCATTTGGCCTTACACCTTTGCTTCACATTTTTCACAAATCTGGATCATTCAGCCTTTGCTTTAAATGTTTATATGTGGATGTGGCAGTTTTTGTATTTAGCATACATGAACTGAAAAAACTTAAAGCTTGGGTTTTTCAGTCAAAGCAGTTGTAATAAATATTTTTGTAGCTAAAAAGATTGTAAAGGAAGAATATATTTAGTATTTTCCATGGATTTGAAGACACCTGTGTTTACAGTAAAATAACTATACAGTTATACAGTATATATTTTACTGTATATAACTGTATACAGTAAAATGTATGTCTGATATTGATTGCATCTGCAGTGCATGGTGAGTGATGAGATGGGTGCGTCTTGATGGGTACATTAATTAGATGGAATGTGTTCACAGACCCTCTGAACTCAGTGGTTCAGAGAGCAATCAGTAAAGGGCAACTCCTAATAATGTTACATGTCTTCTCATGGTTTGTTTGCTGGAGGTAGGAAATCTGTTTTATAAGCGGGGTAAACTTCGGGTCTCTGATGAGGTTGATGGAATGGCGTGCCACGTGGACGTCCACCTGGGGCCCGGCCGGGAAGAGTTGGTACAAGTTCAGGGTCTCCTCCCCAGTCATGTAGCCACCTGGCTAATTAGAAGGAGGAAGCCAAAAAGAGGAGGAAGCCTGAGGAACCAGGGCCCCTGGGGAACCCAACAGGCATAGCTCTGGCCTTCCTGCCACAGGGAGGGAAGCCCGTTAAGGTGTCCCTCTCCTGAGAAGCAGTGACCACGAAGGGCAGTCCCTGGGCTGAGGCTGGCAGTGAGACATACCGTCTGTTGGCCAGCGTGTCTCTGCACTGGATAGACAGGACAGTAGAGCTGAGTGCCTTGAGGCAGACCACAGAGTGGGTCCCCCCTTTCTTGCACGGGGGGCCGGAGGAGGTATGTCCCAAAGGTGAGAGGAGTCATAGGTGGGGCCTGGACAAGAGGTGAGTCTCATTTCCCTCTTGTCAGCTGATGGTAGAAGTTTTTATGGTGGCATTCCCTTGGGGGGCTTTACGTAGTACCAGTCACGTCCCAGTGGAAGAGGACTTCGGCCCTGAAATAAGTCTGGGAGGTGCTGCTGGGTGGAAAAGGGGATGAGTTCCTGAGGCCTGCTTCTGTGCTCCGGCTTTCTGAGGGCAGAGGTGAGCTCCGTGTATTTTCCAAACGAAGCCTACTACAGAACTCTCTCTGAGAGAGACCAGAGGTCCTTGGGATGCCTTTGGTAAACATTCTTCTTAGAGCCATTGTTTCCATTCCCCCCTCTCTGGGCATTGCAGTTTTGCCTGAGATTTGAAAAGCAGGGTTAATGGGGACATCAGCTACAGCTAACCAGATGTGCCCCACCGCACAGGAATGTAGTGTGGCATTTGTAAAATGAGTCACTTGGGGGCACTGAGCTGTCCCTGCACCCCACTGCGTTTCTGCTTCTGGGCAGGAAAGGCCCTCCAGGCCAAGCGTAGGATGTGAGCAAAGTTTTGGTGTCTGTGGAGGGCCGGGGAGAAGTCTGAGGTGAGGGTGGAAAGGAGTGCTGAGGAAGGAGGCCCTCGGGCTGGATCCTGCAAGTAGAGTGGGTGAGCAGGTGGCAGGCGTGTCACTGGTGTAAAGGCCTGCAACACGCTTGAGCTCTGTGGCATCAGACCTATGCCAGCACTGCCATCCCCCCACTGTGACTCTCTTGGGCGAGTCATTGGTCTTCCACGCTAGCCCATCGGGCGGCCCCAGTCTTTTGTGACAGGTGAAGCGGAGGTGGTTCCTCCATCAGGAATTCTGAATTGTACCTCAGGCCTGCCCCACAGGCTAGGCCCCTGGTTAACTGTTGTGATCACGTGATGCAGTGAGCGCAGCGACTAACTCACACTGATGTCTCTCGTAGGTATCAGCCGCGGGGAAGGAGGCCTTACCATCCTGGCTGCACTGGGACCCACAGAGCCACACCCTGGAGGGTCTCCCCCTCGACACCGATAAGGGGGTGCATTACATTTCAGTCAGCGCTGCACGACTGGAGGCCAACGGAAGCCACGTCCCCCAGACTTCCAGCGTGTTCTCTATCGAGGTCTACCCTGAAGACCACAGCGAGCCGCAGTCGGTGAGGGCGGCCTCACCAGACCCCGGCGAGGTGGTGTCCTCGGTCTGTGCTGCCGACGAACCCGTGACTGTCCTGACAGTCATTCTGGATGCTGACCTCACCAAGATGACCCCAAAGCAAAGGATCGACTTGCTGCACCGGATGCGGGGCTTCTCCGAAGTGGAGCTACACAACATGAAGCTGGTGCCTGTGGTGAACAACAGGCTGTTTGACATGTCGGCTTTCATGGCAGGCCCAGGCAATGCAAAGAAGGTGGTGGAGAATGGGGCCCTGCTCTCCTGGAAGCTGGGCTGCGCCCTGAACCAGAATAGTGTGCCTGACATTCATGGCGTGGAGGTCCCTGCCAGGGAGGGTGCCATGTCTGCCCAGCTCGGGTACCCCGTGGTGGGCTGGCACATCGCCAACAAGAAACCCCCTCTTCCCAAACGCATCCGGAGGCAGATCCATGCCACACCCACGCCTGTCACGGCCATTGGGCCCCCCACCACGGCCATCCAGGAGCCACCGTCCAGAATTGTGCCCACCCCCACGTCTCCAGCCATTGCTCCTCCAACTGAGACCATGGCTCCTCCGGTCAGGGACCCTGTTCCTGGGAAGCCCACAGTCACCATTCGGACTCGAGGTGCCATTATTCAGACGCCAACCCTTGGCCCCATCCAGCCTACTCGGGTGTCAGAAGCTGGCACCACAGTTCCCGGCCAGATCCGCCCAACAATGACCATTCCTGGCTACGTGGAGCCCACGGCAGTCATCACCCCTCCCACGACAACCACCAAGAAGCCACGAGTGTCTACATCCAGACCGGCCACACCTTCTACTGACTCCACCACCACCACTCGAAGGCCGACCAAGAAGCCGCGGACACCCCGACCGGTGCCCCGGGGCACCACCAAGGCGCCCATCACCAGACTGGAAACCGCCTCCCCGCCGACGCGCATCCGCACTACCACCAGCGGGGTGCCCCGTGGAGGGGAGCCCAACCAGCGCCCGGAGCTCAAGAACCACATCGACAGGGTGGACGCCTGGGTCGGCACCTACTTTGAGGTGAAGATCCCGTCGGACACCTTCTACGACAACGAGGACACCACCACTGATAAGCTGAAGCTGACCCTGAAGCTTCGGGAGCAGCAGCTGGTAGGCGAGAAGTCGTGGGTGCAGTTCAACAGCAACAGCCAGCTCATGTATGGCCTGCCAGACAGCAGCCACGTGGGCAAGCACGAGTACTTCATGCACGCCACGGACAAGGGGGGCCTGTCGGCGGTGGACGCCTTTGAGATCCATGTTCACAAGCGCCCGCAAGGGGATAAGGCTCCCGCACGCTTCAAGGCCAAGTTGACAGGTGACCCCGCAGCTGTGACGAACGACATTCACAAGAAGATTGCCCTGGTGAAGAAGCTGGCCTTTGCCTTCGGGGACCGCAACTGCAGCACCATCACCCTGCAGAACATCACCCGGGGCTCCATCGTGGTGGAGTGGACCAACAATACCCTGCCCCTGGAGCCCTGCCCCAAGGAGCAAATCACGGCGCTGAGCCGGAGGATCGCCGAGGATGACGGGAAGCCTCGAGCTGCCTTCGCCAACGCACTGGAGCCCGACTTTCAGGCCATGAGCATCGCAGTGACGGGTTCTGGCAGCTGCCGGCATCTCCAGTTTGTCCCAGTGGCGCCACCCAGGAGGGTGCCTTCAGAGGCACCAGCCACGGAGGTGCCAGACCGGGACCCTGAGAAGAGCAGTGAGGACGACGTGTACTTGCACACAGTCATCCCGGCCGTGGTGGTGGCGGCCATCCTGCTCATCGCGGGCATCATTGCCATGATCTGCTACCGCAAGAAGCGGAAGGGCAAGCTCACCCTGGAGGACCAAGCCACCTTTATCAAGAAGGGGGTACCCATCATCTTTGCGGATGAGCTGGATGACTCCAAGCCCCCGCCCTCCTCCAGCATGCCGCTGATCCTGCAGGAGGAGAAAGCCCCTCTCCCCCCTCCCGAGTACCCCAACCAGAGTGTGCCCGAGACCACTCCCCTGAACCAGGACACCGTGGGAGAGTACGCGCCCCTGCGGGATGAGGATCCCAGCGCGCCGCCCTACCAGCCCCCGCCGCCCTTCACAGCCCCCATGGAGGGCAAGGGCTCCCGGCCCAAGAACATGACCCCCTACCGGTCGCCCCCTCCCTACGTGCCCCCTTAACCCACAAGCGCCTGGGTGGAGGTAGGGGTAGGGCAGGGCCCTGGAGAAAACACGGTGTTGTCTGTGGAGACCGGTGGCCTGCAGACCATCGCCCACTGGGAGCCGACACCTGACCTAGCACACACTGACACACACACGGGGCCTGGACAAGCCCGCCCTCTCCGGTCCTCCTAAACCCCAAAGCCGCTGGAGAGACTTTGGGGACATTTTTTTTTCCTTTTACTTTTTGCCTAACAGCTTCTTGTTTGTTCATAGAAAATCCTTCGCTGCGTTTGTCGAAGGCTGGCTGGCTCTGAAAGCACCGTCTGGGGTAGAGGTAGATGGAGGGAGTGAGGAACCGTGAACGAGCCCGCAGGCAGTGCTGGGCGGCCTCCCGGCGGCTCTCTGCGTTTTGCCTTTAACACTAACTGTACTGTTTTTTTCTATTCACGTGTGTCTAGCTGCAGGATGTAACATGGAAAACAGTAGCTAAAGATTAAATTCAAAAGACTTTCAGACGTTAAGGTTAAGTTTTTACATTTAATCTGCTGTTTACCTAAACTTGTATGTATCATTTGGGGGTGGGTATGGGAAATTGCTTTGCTAAAAATAAGCTCCCAGGGTGTTTCAAACTTAAGAGAAGACCAAGGGACAGTATTTTTTATCAAAGGAATCCTATTTTTTCACACTACGTAAACTTGGTTGCTCTGATACCCCAGAGAGCCCGCCTGGGGGCCTCCTGGCCCTGGCTTAGGGGCCAGGGCCCTGGTGCTGGGCTTGCTGTCCCACCGTTGCCAGGGGCTGGAAGCTGGAGGGGGCCTCTTAGGCCAAGGACATCCACACCCCCAACCCCATGCACGCTAGCAGCCCACCACCAAGGGGTCTTCATTTCCATGGAAAGGGGACTCCGAGAGGTGGCGGTGGCCGTGGCCCCCAACCTAGGTGCTCCAGGGTGGGCCAGCTGCTCGTGGGGACGGCTGGGGAGGTCGAGGAACTCGACCACATCAATCTGTTTTCTTTTATCCTTCTTCTGTGTGTGGTTTTTTTTTCTCCCCCCACCCCCCCTGCCCCAAGGAATATCATGGTTTTTGAAACACTCAGTGGGGGACATTTTGGTGAAGATGCAATATTTTTATGTCATGTGATGCTCTTTCCTCACTTGACCTTGGCCACTTTGTCCCAGCAGTCCACAGCCCCACCCTGACCCACATCACCCCCTTCTCTGGCGCTCCAGTCCCAGGCCTCGGGCCTGAACAGCTGGGCAAGGTCTGGTGGCTGGGAAGGAGTGCCAGCAATAGTTCATAGTAAAAAATCTGTGGGCTCTCGAAGCTAATTTTTTACTAAAGTTTTTATACAGCCTCAAATTGTTTTATTAAAAAAAAAAAGATTAAAAACGGTGATGCTTACAGCAGTTTGTACAAGCTCTTAGTGTTGATTCCATGGGACTGACGGCTTTGCTCATTTTGATTTTTTCCCCACCCCTTCTTTTCCTAATGGTTTAAATTCCAGAATTACACTGGGTCTCCTTTTGCCTTTTTTAGCAGAACGTCCGTCCATCCATCCGCATCTCTGTCCTGTGACTCAGGGGCACCCACTCAGTTTTGATTCTCCTCCTTTGGAAGAAACTGTTTTGAGCAGGACTTCTTGATGCCTGAGTTATTTTGGGTACCTTTTAGGGAGGAATGCCTTTTGCAATAATGTGTCCCTTCCGTGATCAAGGGCGGGTGGGTGGACCCAGGCTCCCAGTGCACGTCAAGCAGCCACTTCTAAGCCATATTGACCGTTTTGCAGAGGATTCGTGTGTGCTGCCTCAGGACGGGAGGGATGGTCAGAGTGGAGGGGTCTTCACTCTGCCCTTCTCTGGAGGGCGTTCCCCTGTGCACCTCCTCCCACAGGGCCCAGCCTCTCTCTCCTGCCTGGCCCACCCGGTGGGGTGAGCGGTGCCCCCCGGTGGGTGGAGCCTGTAGTGAGGGCTCCGTGGACCTGTGGTGACTGGCCCTTGTGCCTCCATGTCCTAATCCAAGCTGGAGTTCCCCCCAGTGCCCCAGAGTCAGGAGTGCAAGCTGGGTCTGACCTGGTGGGATGATTTTTTTTTGATGACCTCGCCAAAAAGATAAACAATTTCCAGTGTTCCAGGTGAGGGCTTTGAAAGGCCTTCCAAATAAGCTCCGTTGCCCCTAGCAACCCCACCATTGGGCATTGCCATGCAGAGACGTGGCTGGCCCAGAATGGCCTGTTGCCATAGCAACAGGAGGCAATGGGGCAGTGAACAGAATAACAACAGCAACAATGCCCTTGCAGGGCAGCCTCCTCCCCTGAGCGCCTGGCTGGCAATGGTCTTTGGACTCTGTGAGACAGAGAGCCAATCTCACATTCAAGTGTTCACCAACCACTGATGTGTTTTTATTTCCTTCTATATGATTTTAAGATGTGTTTTCTGCATTCTGTATAGAAACATATCGAACTAAATAAAAGCAGTGTCTTTATTACAATGCCGTTGCCTCCAAGCATCTATTTCCCTGGCCCCTACACCACTTGAGTGTAGGGTGGGACTGGAGTCCATGTGACAGAGGGAAAGAGGGGGCCCAGCTAGGCCCACTCAGAGGTGGCCTTTGAGCAGCTGTTCGGATAGCCTTCACATCCTTACCATTTCTGTGCCTCTGAGAGGGGTGGTGGTTGGCACCAGAAGTTCTGGCAACCAGTGAACCGTTCCTAGCACCTCCTCTGCCTAAAACAGTTGAGACATAGCTTGTGCGTCAGTTTCCTCATCTGTAGTTGGGGGTGGGAGGAAGAATAGGCAGGAAAACCCAGTGAGACTGGGTTGGAGGGGAGGATGGTGCAAGAGGTCTTACTGGAGGAGGTGTGCCCCAGAGTGGGTCCCAGGCAGGGGTCCCTCAGGCTGGGCCCCTTGCCTACCACCTTGTGGGGTTGAGGCTGGCCAAACCTCCTAGGGAGTCTCCAGGCAGTTTGGCCTTGGCCTTGGAGTGGGGAGAAGGGAAGGGTGGTTTTCAGGCTGTTTTGCCCTCTTTGGGCCTATGGTTATAGTTTCTGGGGACCTGCCCCTCATAAGTGCCCTGCCGGGGATAGACAGGCCAGCTGGGTAGGCTTAGTATGACTTAGTGCCCAGGAAGGGTCGGGCTGTCCGAGGACACTGCTCAGGGTGTGGGAGGAAGGGGATACAGCAGCTGTGTCTTCAGAGGCAGGATCAGGGGCTATTGGTCACGGAACAACTGGTGCCTCTTCTGGGCTCACTCCCACTGCCACAGGGCCCTCACCACCTACAGCCCCCAGGCTGCTGCTCTGCTTACAACCTTCAAGATCCAGTGCTGAGACTGGTCCTATGTTGCAGCTAGAACTCAGTCCCAGAGCAGGGAGTTGAGGGTCAGACAACTACTTGTAGGAGGAAAGTGGAAGTGTTAGTTGCTCAGTCATGTCCGATTCTTTGTGACCCTACGGAATGTAGCCCGCCAGGCTCCTCCGTCCATGGAACTCTCCAGGCAAGAATACTGCAGTGGGTTGCCATCTCCTTCTCCTGGGGATCTTCCCAGGGACTGAACTCGGGTCTCTTGCACTGCAGGCAGATTCTTTACCTTCTGAGCCACCAGTGCCTCATACTAAATACGACACTGATAAATTCCAGGAAAAGCTGTCCCCGGGAAAGAGTTCAGAGACACATACACCTCACCCCAGGACCCAGCAGCAGGGGCCTAGGAAGTGACCCTGCCCTTTGCTCTCTTGGCCTCAGGAAGTTCTGCTTAATGTTTAACCTAAAGCCAGTGGGTTGAGTGGACTCACTCTCTTGAACTCAAAGAAAGGGATTTCCGGTTTCAGCCAAGAACAGTAAGATCAGGGGGGTGGGCGCCAGAGAAGCCACAGGTTTCTCCCGCCTCTGCCCTGCCTTTCTCTCCTTTAGAGATGTCTGATCTTGGCCTGGTGGGCCCCTACCCACCGCATTCTTGCCAGATCTCTGTGGCTTCACCTTGGTGGGGACAGGGACCATCTACTCATGTTTTTTTCAAGCTAGAGTGGGTGGTGTAGGGCAGAGGCAGGAAAAAAAAGGATACAGTAAGGGAGAGGGAGCTGTCTGACCTACAGAAAGCTGCCTTCCCCTCTGCCTCTGACCCAGGGCAAGTTCCCAGGATCCTCGGGCCTGGCTTCCCCATCTGTGAGACAGGACGGTGCTGGTCTCCAAGGGATTCTGAGAAGTCCTGGGAACCGTGGGGTGGAGTCGGGATAACAAGTCACCCCGGTGCATCTGTCTCTAGAAAGGGCAGGGAATCCAAGCAAGGCTAGAAGACTCTTCCATCTCTCCTGGTGTAAAGGCACTGCCTCAGGCCAGGCCTGGGTCCTGGTGTTGGCTGCAGAATACTAGCGTGTCTAAGAGTTCCTGGCCAGCCTCGTCTAGAACATCACCACTCTGGTGAGGACTGGAGGCTCCCCGTGACTCACCTTGTTCCCTGCAGGCAGAAAAGTCTCCTACAAGAGACACTTCTCTGGCTCCTCTAACGCATGGAAGGCCCCACTCAGGCCCCACTCACCTTTCAAAGGTGCGCTTCACTCCTCTCTATTACTGTATCTTAAAAATATAGATGGCTAAAGTTTTTAAGCTAACACTTCCTGCTGTTTCCCTCCTCAATCCACCATCTTGAGGGCAAGGGTCCAGGTACCATGGCCAGTGCAAAACAGATTCAATTCTAAGTAGTTTTTTTTTTTTTTTCCCCCAGATTGTAAAATTTTGTTCCTATGGTAGAGCAGCAACAAATTATTTGAAGCCCCCTCCCCTCACCCCAGGAGATAGGGGCACCCTTTTCTTTGTGAGGATGCTAGCAGACCCAGAGAAGGTAGGACAAGAGATTCAAAGTGAGGGTTCCCATCCGCTGGGAGTGGGGTGCTCCTGCACCTGCAGGCACCATGGAGACCTGGCCTCTGGGGCCCTTTTTAGCCCCTCTGCCCTCAGTTTCGGTGGTGGTGACCCTAGGATCACAGCTGAGATGGGGCGAAGTTGGTCTGTTTCTGTCCCT